GAAAATTTAAAAGCCCGGGGGGGGGGGGGAATTGTCTTAAAGAAACACTGACTGTGTGCGGTGTGCTTTAAGAGTTAGGATTTAATTAACGTTTTCCCCGCCATTAAGTTGGTGACGTATATTTATTGTAATTACAACGTAGTGTCTAGACCAACGGTTCTCAACCTGTGGGTCGCGACCCCTTTATGGGTCGAACGATCCTTTCACAGGGGTCGTCTAAGACCATCGGAAAACACATATACACTACACTTTTGAATTAGCAACGAAACTATTTTTTTGGTTGTGGGGTCACCACAACACGAGGAACTGCATTAAAGGGTCGCAGGATTAGGAAGGTTGAGAACCACTAGTCTAGAATGTCCTTGGCGTGCGTACATTTCCGTTTGACAGCAGATGAGACAACCTTGTAATGAATGGAAGTGCATCATTTCTCCTTCTGACAGCTGCGTTGTACATGTTGTTACGTACCGTTATGGTTTTGAAAATGTAATCTGTTTTAAGATTCGGCTCTTAGAATGAACAATAAGTAACCAAGGGTTACACATCAGTAAACAAAGAAAAACGATACCAAAGCCAGAGATGCTAACGTATTTTCGATTCAATTACTCTATTCTTAAATTTCTATAAAAACACAAAATCAAATATACAGAAACAAATCAAAAACTGTATCGACTTAAAGCACAGCAAGCGAAAAGGTACATTTATTGAAAAATTGAAGTATTAATATTAACATACATTCATAAGGAGTACAATATTGCATTTATATAACGTCTCGTATATGTTAGGAAATATAACAACTCTCTCTCTCTCTCTCTCTCTCTCTCTCTCTCTCTCTCTCTCTCTCTCTCTCTCTATCTATCTCTCTTTCCCTATTAAGAAAGCTGTCTGTCTATAAATAGGGATTAAATCAGAACCGTCTAGTACAGAAATTAGAACGTAAACAACATTTTCCCAATCAATGGAGGGGTGGTTAAGGAATAATGACACAGCACATTTACTCGGTGACGTCGCTATCAAAGTAAATAAGGGGGAGACAAATGTCAGGGGCTAAAAACATGCTCTACGTTGAAGTGAAAAAAATAGGCCAAGACATATACTAGGCTATACTATAAACAATGTGCTGGATTCAATGTACCGCCTGATAGATACTTCCCCGTATATTAACCAAGTAGACCGATATAAGATAGTCACTCCATTTCAGTGGGTCACTTTATCATGGCTTCATTTTGAGTCCTTCCAAGAACAGTATACCATGTCGCGAAACTCTGTCCCATTATAAAAAAAAAAAAATGCATTAACCATGGTCGGAAAAATTTTAAACACGAATGTTGATTTCAGATTAAAAATGTTGCATGAAGTGAATTATTGGACGGATGCTCAAACGGCGTGTGTCTGATCCATGATCGAATCTCGGACGATGCACATTTTTCCTTTTCATATCCGTTTGTTTTCGATAATAATTCATTCGAAAATTGAGAACTTGGATATAGATGCATATAATCTTATGAAAAGTCTGTTAATATCTAACAAGGCTGCAAGACGGTTTTGATATACACACAAAGTATTGAGTATGAAGTAAATATTCAATAGTGTTTTTCTTACTTAAATTTTTTTTTTTTTAAATTATTAATTTCCTTTCATGGGCCACCTTTGACCTCCATGGGCGCCGGAAAAATCTACCGGCTTCACACCCCCTCTCCTCAGGCCTGGGCACAACAAGCGAGTCTATTTGGGAAGGGGCGGAATTGTTAATAGCTGTTGGGGTGGGGGTTAATGCTGATAGGACTGCATTGAATGAGGAATGTATTCATTATAATAAAAGAAGGAACTCACCGAATACAATGATATATCCAAAACTGCACCAAACGCTACAGATTGGAAAATGGGGATCATAATAATTAATCCATCAGTTTATCCGATTGCTGCCAAGTGCTTTGGAAATGAGGTGATCATGGGACTTGCACTTCGTATCAAGTAATAATAGATGCACCAGAATCCCTGCTATGCATTAGCTTCTAATCACTTAATAATCCCAAATATTGCAATGGTGTGCCATGATACAGTCCTTGACATGAAATTAGCTGCTGGCGAATGGATGTACTCTATCAGAATCATATCTGAAAGGTCATTGGGTCGTTCGCTCACTCTTCTGTGAACTGTAAAAGCTCATACGATCCAACCATCCCCTTTCGGAAATATCAACGGTACCTCCCTGGTTGCGTTTTTTGGGGAAATTTAGTAAGCTGTCGTTTTTCGGTCAAGTTTTTGTTGTCATTTTAAGCAGTTATGATCAATACCATTGGCTGTGGTACATTAGCTGTAGAACATTAGCTGTAGTACATAAGCTGTGGTACATTAGCTGTAGAACATTAGCTGTAGTACATAAGCTGTGGCACATTAAATGTAGAACATTAGCTGTAGTACATAAGCTGTGGTACATTAACTGTAGAACATTAGCTGTAGTACATAAGCTGTGGTACATTAGCTGTAGAACAGTAGCTGTAGTACATTAGCTGTGTTACATAACCTGTAGTACATAAGCTGTCGTACATATAATGTAGTACATAAGCTGTAGTACATAAGCTATAGTACATAAGTTGTAGTACATACGTTGTAGTACATAAGCTGTAGTACATTAGCTGTAGTACATAAGCTGTAGTACATTAGCTGTGGTAAATACGCTGTAGTACATAAGCTGTCGTACATAAGCTGTAGTACATAAGCTGTGGTAAATACGCTGTAGTACATAAGCTGTCGTACATAAGCTATGGTAAATACGCTGTAGTACACATGCTGTAGTACATAAGCTGTAGTACATAAGTTGTAGTACATAAGATGTAGTACATTAGCTGTAGTACATAAGCTGTAGTACATTAGCTGTGGTAAATACGCTGTAGTACATACGCTGTCGTACATAAGCTGTAGTACATTAGCTGTAGTACATTAGCTGTAGTACATTAGCTGTAGTACATAAGCTGTAGTACATTAGCTGTAGTACATTAGCTGTAGTACATTAGCTGTAGTACATAAGCTGTAGTACATTAGCTGTAGTACCCCATTTGGGAAAACATTTTTAAAAAGAAACATAATTAAGTAATGTTTTAAGTTTGTTGACTTGTTGATGGGGAGCGTCGTGTCATGATCAGAACATTTCGATCAGAGCAGCACGGAGAAAAGAAATCATAATGAAACCTCTTAAAGCACGCAAGTAATGGGAGATCATCCCTTTGTCTAAGTAAATTTGTGTCATTCTGATTTATTGGTGTCAGAGAAAGGAGTGGCAAACAAAGGGTGGTAAACTCAAAGCCCATGCAGGGCGCCACATACTCCAGCTGCGCATGCAGCAACGGTCGGACTTATGGATGAAGACATTTTCAACATGGACGAGTCCCCATGCTATGTTCACATGATTGGGAGTTCAACGTTGCATTTTGTTGGTGACAAAAATGTTGACGGCATGAACACAGGGCATGAAAAGACAAGGTATACAGTGGTTCTATGCATAAGTGCTTCTAGTCGGGTTATCAAGGCCATGGTAATACTGAAAGGACTTAAAAATGTACCGAAATGTGACATTCCGGAAAATATTTTTTTGACAGTGTCAAAGGGAGGCTCCATGACAGAGGATCTAATGATTGAATGGCTAGAAAATGTCTACAAAAGAAGAGGGCCTTATTTCGCAACAAGAAAATCGTTGTTGATCATGGACAGTCACAGGTCCCACACAAGTGAAGCTGTTCTTGCAGCATGTACACACATAAATCCAACTGTCAAAGTTATTCCTGCCAAAACAACATCATTCCCACAGCCCTTAGATGTTGGTGTTAATTTCCCATTTGATGCTATTTTAAAGCAGAAATGGAAAGATTGGTTTGAAAATGGGGTGAAGGAATATACACGAGGTGGATACAGGAAAAAAAAACATCTTATGAACAATGTCTTCAAATGGTGTCAGAAAGCGTAAAAATGATCTCACCTGAAAACATATGAAAATCATTTAGTGCATGTGGGGTAATATGTGATAATGACAAGCATCTCAACCAGCGATTGAAAGCTGTAATCAGTTTTGAAGCTGAAGAAGGTATCAGACGTGGACGTCAACAGCACGATGATGAAGAAGAGTCTGATGACCCGTTTGAAGATCTTACAGATAATGACTCGGATTAAAAACATTTTTGTGTACTTTTTCAATATTTTCAAACAGCAAAATTTTAAAGTAAATTATCTTAACTGTGTTATCTGTATTTTTATTTTTCAGTATTTACCAGTGTTTCTTTTCTCAAGAAGTTTTTTGGATGAATGATTACATTTAAATCTATGGGTAATCTGATTTCACATTACTTACGACTGATCTTTATTACAAAATAAAATAACGTTTTAAATTTTTTGTAACATATTTTCAACTTAGAAAAAAAATATACAAAGAAATTATATGCGAGTGACTCAGGTAATAAGTAATTTAACTGATTTGTATTTTCCACATGAACGCCCATGGGTCTTTATTTGGTTCAAAAATCTCAATCATGTAACATCAATTTTCCGTTTTGAAGCCCAGGCCTTATTTACGGAAATCTCCGGTAGTAAGGGCATCATTGTGATATAAAACATTCACACGACATCAAGCCAGTTGGGCTAAGAGTGCTGAACTAAAAAGGTCAAAACGTCACCCTCTCTGCCGCGGAAACAACACGAAAAAGTCCGGGACAGTCATACATCATCAAACCGTTGACCAAGCCGCGTGGCGGTCGGTGATGTTCTGTAAATTTTGATATGGCCGAAACTACCACAGAATCTCTCAAGCATGATCGCCAGGATCTACAGAGGCTATTCGCTGACTTCAGCAACAGGACCACCATGCACGGCTTGCGCCGGGCAGTCACAGGCAACGACACATGGCGTAGAATCGTTTGGACGTTGCTGGTGCTGTCCGGAATGAGCTGGGCGATTTATTAGCATGTTAACATCACCCGCGAGTACTACTGGTATCCCGTGTCCACGCTGGTCAGTATGGAGTACAGTACGAAGCTGTTATTTCCAGCTGTGACCATCTGTAACCTCAATCGCCTTCGTATGTCTAAGTTGGAAGGTAAGCTCACGTTTCTAAAGGTCAGTCCTAGATTTTATTGTTTTGTTTTTGTTTTTTTTGGTGTTTTTTTGCGCTCTATTTGTAATATTTGAAATAATCATGAGCAGTAATTCTGAAAAGAAAGAGGGAACAAGTATTTTAAAAGCAGATGTGGATTGGATTAAACGTTTGCAATTTAAAGTTTAAGGCCTATTATTCAGTTTTTGTTTATTAAAATAGATGCCATTCGTGGTCAGAATTTGCACTTTTCTTAAACTCTTGTGAGTTAATTTATTTTTAACGTTTTAATTTTTAGACTCACGGAGTGTAACTTTTTTTAACGCAGTAGCCTACTTGTATTTATTATTTAGTGTGTATAGAATATTCCATTGGAAACATTTAGAAGCCACGGGAAGAGATTGCAAACCCTTAATGCCAAAGGTCATTTTCGTTTTTTTCGTGTGTCTAATTCACAGCGCCCCCTACAGGTCACACGACACAGAGAATTAATGACAATGCTGATAAGGGAATATTCTAGAGGGGATAGAATCGCGCGTGGACACGTCATGGAAGACATGTTTCTGGCATGCACCTTTAACCTGGTCAGTTTGTCAAAATTAACCATCTATATAATATCAAAATTTATTTTTATTGCTTCCGTATTTGATGTGTCTTATAAATTTGAATCTAATCTCTATTTGCCCCCATGTTAGCATCATGCCCTAGAAGTTTAGTTCTATCGATTCTATTATGTTGTTTCATCCAATAGGAGCCGTGTACTGTTGATGATTTTATTGAGGAGATGTACATGAGGAGTGGAAACTGTTACACTTTTGGGGACACCGTAACAGACAAAAAGGAAAGGTAATCCTGCCCTGCCTGGTGAGGGCGGAGGGAGGGAGTACAATCAAACGTGACTAAGCGATTACATCCTTTCAATCAAGGTTTAGATAGTAGAGTTTATTGGTAAAATTAGTTACAACAAGGAAATTGTGTGTATGTGGGGGGGCGACTTTTTTTGGTTCTTTGCATATTTTCTGTATACTTGCCGTCACACCAGCTTACGATTGCCAATGGTTTTTACTGTTGAAGATATACTAATAAGGCGGGGCCTGCCAACGGCCTCATTCTCGACCTTGACATTGGACGAAGCGAATACCTCCGTTCATCCTCCGCCTATGGTGTCAACATTCTACTTCACAACGGCTCCGAGTACGCCTTCCCTTACGATGGAGGAATAGTCACCGGGCCTGGATTTTCAACAAGTATCGCTCTTAGAAAGGTCAGACCTTTTCATTCATCTTCATGTCTTCAAAATGTGTCATCAATAATTGTCCACTGTTGTGATCTTTCATAATGTTCATTATCTTCTTGATTGTTTACAAAAAAAAGAAATCTGCTTGCTCCTATTTGATTGTATTGTTTAATCTTTAACGTACTTTTTTGTGGTAAATTTGTTTCTGAAAAGTATTTTAAAAAAATCTACTTCCTATTGTTAAACACAATATAACAATTTTTAGTGACTGAAGTTTGTGTTAAAGAAGTGTTAAGTTGGTATGATTTGAACCCTCCTGTGATACTAACAAATGTAAATTCTTTACTTCCACGTTTATAATATGTAATGATTATGAATGCTTATATTTGTAAACAGCATCGAGTACTCTCGGTAACATGGGTGACATTTTCAGAGTCAGTGGCGTAGCTAGGGTTGGTGTCACCAGGTGCGATAAACTCATGGTGTCACACCCCATCCCTCGACTTCCAGGGTGGATTTCTGAGGGTCAGAAAGTTAATGTTTTCAAGAACTGTACATGTACTTAGAATCGCCTGACCACATCGTATTTGGTATTAAAGTTTCTTGTCACTTACGAAAGTTACCGACCGCTTCAATCGGCGTTGATTCATGGTCAAAATAGTGTTTTTATGACCCACTTATAGGGTCACCTCATCTCTGACCGATCATCAACCTTGAACTTTTAATAAAGCACGCATTTGGATTGGTTATAAGTGTGTTAAAATGTACGTGTCATTCATTGGTTATCGGTTTATTAAATTCGGTTTGCGCGAGCAGCGTGTGCTCTGTAAATATTCAGTTTTTCAATTTGATGCCCCCCCCCCCTGAAATTGTGTCACCCGGTGAGGTCGGCACCTCTCTAGATACGCCACTGTTCAGAGTATAATGTTCACAATTCCGGTGATTCTGGGTTGTTGTTTTTTTAGTTAAGAAAAGAAGAAAATTCAAAATATGAATGTAGTGCGATTCTCCTTTTGGTGTCTCGATTGTTTGTCTGCTAATGCTTAACTCTCCACATAACCAAAAAATTAGTAAGAAATGATGCGTGGAGAGATAGTATCATCTTTAGCATTTTGTGAATAAATCAACATGGGTTTTTGTGTCTCCAGGTGGAGAGTTATCTCTTACCAGCGCCGTACGGAATGTGCGTGGAGAGCGACAGTGTCAGCCAAAGAATCAATCTCTTCTCACAGTTGGGCTACTCTTACACCGACCTCGCCTGTAAACGCTCCTGCCACCAGGTGAAGCTCTTGAACGAGTGTAGATGCTACGAGGAGGACGTCCCCGGCGGTATCGATGCCATGAAGATCCTGGCCGGGATCGATAAAGACGACATGAACTTTTCTTTCTGCGACTCCAACTACCTCGAGTGTCTGGACCGTGAGAATTGTCTCTATGAAAGGGAAGCTTTAGGGTGCACGGAGTTGTGTCCCCCGGCATGTAGCAAGGTCAGCTTTTTGCGATCCGCCTCCCAGGCTGAGTGGCCAGTGGACGAATATTATGATCACGTCATCAGGAAGGTCGACTCGTCCTACAAGGCGAGAAATAAAACGTACGCATTCATTGGTGCTCCACAGGATCACGTGCGTAAAATTTTTTTGAGGTTGGAGATCTACTACGAGTCAATAAATTCAATCTTGTTTTGTTAACATCTCAGGCCAGATTTTACGTTTGAGAACCCTGAAATTATTAAAAACTTATCCTGCAATCTATTTTTAATTCCTTGTTTTATTATCATAACCAATAGCGTAATAGGGTGTTGGGTGGTCTAAACTGAGCAAATCTCAAGTTGGTGGTCTGGAGTTCAATTCCAGCCAAAGCCTAGTCAAGCAAAAACATCACTAGCATCCCGGGTAGATGAAAAGCCACCCAAGTGTAACCAGTCCCATCCACCCGAGGTGCTGGTATTGTTTTTGCTTTTTTAGACTTTTGGCTAAAAATATACATATCTTGATTAAATGTAGCGGGACAATTTTCTCATCAAAACAAATAAATAAACTAACCACCTAAAACTTAACACCAACACGTAAAAAAAAATTCAATGACACGTTGTTACAAAGCAAACATGCAACTCAACAAGTGGTAACAATTTAGCATTAAAAAAAAATACCACATGTACTGAAACATAATTCGAAACTTGTATGAGGCTATACAAATATTTATTTTTATAAAAGAAAACCAACGAAGCCAGCAGAATATCTACATTGGTATTAATGTTCTACCCACATGGATGCATTAACCAAAGCTGACATAGCCAAGGCCTTTATGGCCGACAGACACATTTACAAGGTCGTGAACGAAAATTCATGGCTAATGATCTTTTCAAAATTATAAATAATAAGAAACTCGCACGAGTCCCCTCGTTCTTCATACACCCCCCCCCTCAAACATAGATACATTTTTACACAAGTTGATTTTACACCGTTTCAATTGACTTCAGTTGAACTTTAAATGGGATCCTCATCTTTCTTACAACATAAAGGATCAAATTGAAGCCACACTCGACCATCTCGAAGGCAGTGAGCAGGGAGATCCCAAGAAAAAGCCCAAGCTGACCACCAATGTCACCCATGGCCTTGTTAAAATCATTGGCGGGATATGACGACTGAATTTCATAATCCATGGATTCGTAGTAGATCTCCAACCTCAGAAAATTTTTACGTACAAACTCCATTGGATCTTTGTCAACGCGGAGACGCTCCCCCCTCCTGGCCATAGATTCATTGACCTTCTGGAGAAAGTTTGGTAGATACGCGTCTGCCGGCCAAGCGGCCTGGGAGGTAACCCGATGATAAAAAACTATTTCACAAGCCGGAGGACAAGTCCCCGTGCACGAGCTGACCTCACCCGACCGGTAAGCGAGTCGCTGAGGCATCTAGTGTCATTGCTGTTGCAGATGACAAAGGTGTGGTTGCCCTCACTCATGCCTGCCATTTCAGCAAGGGCGGCAATGCCGCCGGGAACGTCCTCAGCATAGCAGCGACATTTCTTTAAAACAGCGGCCATGGCACAGGATCGCTTGCAAGCATGATCTGTGTACTTGTAGCCGTTGTTAAAAAACAGTTCTTGTTTCTTGGTGTTTTCACTCCTGCTGTCCACATAATCGCCGTAAGGGGGCGGTAGGTGATAACTTTCAACCTGTTCAAAGTTTTTTTTTTTTTTTATTGATGAAAGGTATGGAGTTTGTAGTTTAAGTTAAATTTCCATATTTCACTCCGTCTTTTAAAACTAAACACAATAAATAATAATTTAATAAAAATAAAAATGGATATGCTCCTCCTATTAGAAATGGTTCAATCTGAATTTCCTCTTCCATTTCCGTTCGATTTCGCATTTTTACCAAATTTTTACCACGCATGTATTTAATGTCCGATAAAGCATAGTTTATCTAATTAAACGGATGAACTGTTATCAGTTCTCTTTATTATCATATTATGTGACTACTCATTTTGAGGGTTAAAAAAAAGCGTTATGTCTTTTTGTGTTTTTTTGGGTGTGAAATCTAATTTAAAAATAAAGAACAAGACATTCTTCTAAATGTCACTTTTTTGTGTGTGTGTAGAAGAATAAGATGTACATCTTTTATGTGCGTTGGACCATTGCAGGCCAACTCATGTTTTATCTTTTGTTTGTTTAAAAGAAATATTCTCGTTAAAAAAAATGATTAAAAAAAAATTTCTCACCTTTATTTATTTATTTAGGCATTTTTATATAGCGCTTACCTTAAAGCTCTAAGCGCTTTACAATTATTAAAAACATGTAAACTAACTAAAATAAAAATGAGACATTAGGATAGTAACTACTATACTATAGAAACAATTAAAATGGCTATAAAACGAGGACACTTTGGCACGTTTTGGCCTATATT